TCTCTCTCTCTGTCTCTCTCTCTGTGTCTGTCTCTCTCTGGCGCGCGGGCGCTGAGAGACAGAGAGAGCGAGAGAGATGGAGAGCGCAGCTATGTTAGAGTAGCACACACACACTTAGGGCGGGCATGAGGCTGTTTGGGGGCCGCAGCTCAGAACACTTGCATGTCTGATAAGGGCCCCGTGAGGGCTCATTCCTCGCATTACTAGTCTAGCATAGTTTACCTATTTTGTATCGTATTGTATCCTAGACTACCGTCTTTCCCCGAATTTAACGAACCCTATGTCTGAATGTATACAAGCTATCTTTCCAGTCCGGTGCGGCCAAAATGAGGGTGCGTTGTGTTCGGGGGAAGACGGTAGTCTGTTGAAATACGAAACAACGATTTCGGCCTTGGTACAGTCACAATGAGATGGTCCGTTCTGACTCCTTGCTTTTTCCCAAAAAAAAAAAAAAAAAGACGGTCCGTTCTATTCGGGGGATGGGTGGCAGAGACAGAGAATTCGCAATTTATAGAGACCTCTGCGTGACCACACCGTTTGTCCATGTGGCCGTTAAAACAGATCTCCACCTGTGTATGTCCACGTGGCAGTCTCATTACACGGCTAAGCTGCCACAGTACATGTCAAAGTGGTCGCAGCTCACATGTCCCACACGCGGTCACAGCACTGCTGCCGACGTCACCACATTTCAGATGTCCACGTGGCCGTGTTGACGTGTGTTGTCCACACGGCCACAGAATGGACACGTCCGATTTTTGTTTTTTTTGTTTTTCACAGAATCAGATGGCCCTAATAGAAAAAAGAAAAGAATACCGCCAGGGATTGCTCGAAAATTGCACTATTACCAACAAGGCTTGTACAGATAATACACACGCCCATGTGAATTGCTGAAATGCAGACCCAATTTCGAAACCAGATGCAGTCAGAGGAACGGATAAAACAATTGTTTGATCTAAATTAACTGGGTCCGTTCAGTTCAATGATGATATCTCAAGGCCGTCACCTTTATAAAAAGAAAAAGTGAAAAAATAAGGGGGACAAAAAACAGACGAAATTGCACGATTTTGGCTGCTGCCATGTTCCTTCTCCCCCCGCCTGATCATGATGAATGTATATAGGCTATGTTTCCGGTCGGATCGGTACTTCCATGATGACGGTACGCGTGTGTTTTGGGGAAGATGCTCCCGTCATCACCCGAGCAGAACGCACTGCCATTATCAGACAACTGTAATTACAGTGAGACTGAAAGTTGTCCCAAACACAGCTGTAATTACAGTGCGTTCTATTCGGGGGAAGATGGTAGCAGTGACATCATGTGATTTTCTTTATCAACAGAGAGCACCTTGCAAGGACAATGGGGCGAGAGCCAAATGACAGCAATCCAAATTGCAACAGCACATTGAAAGCCAGATAGCACCAGCCACATTGCATCCAAAGAAAAACGACAAAAGGCCATGTATCAGTCGGGATGATGCTTCTTATAGAAATGTCCAACACACCAAAGCTCAAACTTGTGTGACACATTCATTCAGTACGTCATTGAGCATACTCGTTGACCAATGGAACAGACGGTAAGCCTGACATTAAGAGTTCTTCATCATCTTGTATAAGATAGCACTGATCAGATGGAAGGCGTGATATGATCGCCATCATCGCCGGCCCCCAAAACAAATCTGGATGAGCCATTATAGAGGACGGATTAACTGTCAAATCGTGGTGTCAGGGTGCCCCCCGGACAGTTCACCCTAGGGAACAGATGGATTTGTCGTGCCTGTGGTAAATCCCACGGACAGATTTGGACCATTTCTCGATTTATGCGTGTCATCCTTGAAAGCGCAGGGGCCATTTGCTAATTACCCTTCTCTGTATCGTTCCAATTTTAACGGACGTCCCGAAGGACAGATTTGGACTCCCTACCTTTGCTTCTTACAAGATTCCTGAGGAAACTATCCCTTTCAGAACAACAGGGCACCGCCCGCCTGCTTTTTAGAATGGTTGAAAGTTAGGTGTTCCAGCCCCTTCTGCCTGTGCAAGATTTTGTAATTGTTGTTTTCTCAAAGGGGGAAAAAGGCCGGAAAAAAAGGACAAAGAAAGATATACGACGGCGAATGGAAGACAAAGATCCTACTGATCCGGCGTCTCGTGAAGAAAGGAGAAGAAAACTAGATTATCGACACAGGACTGATAGAGACCAAGAGAGAGAGAGAGAGAGAGAGAGAGAGAGAGAGAGAGAGAGAGAGAGAGAGAGAGAGAGAGAGAGAGTCGGGCGTAATCGACCGTAGCCTCTTTCCCTCCCATTCTACCGAGGTGAGCCCTGACGAATCGGCTACCCTCCTCTCTCACCCCTCCCCTCTTTGTCTCCTCCCGCTCACCCGCCAGGGCCGCCACCCTCAGTGCGAGATGGTGAATGGGGGTCTCAATTTTGCGGACACTGCCTCCATTGGAGATTGAAGATGAGCTGGAACTTGGTATCCTGGGAGTCGAGCGCCATCACAGCCTTCTGGCCCTCCACTCTCACCACCGTCTTGATGTTCAGGTTGGGCGCGTTGTTGCACTCGCTCCAGACAACCGTCAGGAAGTCGTCCGTGAACTCGAAGCTGCCAACCTTTGGGCCTCGGATTTTGCGCTCCACCATCGCCGTCCCCGTTTGTCCGGAGAAGTAGTAGTGCGTCTCGTAGATGCCGGCGGAGTTCTCGGCGATGTCAGCGAACCCGCGGCCCGTGGCCTGACCAATGGAGACGCTCCAGCCATCCGGGTAGCTCATGGAGAACGACATCTGGCAAGACTTCCTCTTGTCGGCGAGCGACCCGTCCGTGGTCGCAACCATCCCGCCGAACATGAAGGTGACAGTCTTGTAGTCGTTCGACAGCACCCAGTTGGTGTTGTCGTAATTGCAGCCATTGCCTGCGTAGGTGACATAACCGATGGTCACCTCAGTCGGAGTCTGCGCGCTCGCCTGAACTGCAGCAGCGATCAGCAAAAGAACGGCCGCAAGAACCACCTGATGCGCCATTGCCCTCGACCTCTGCCTCCACCCCCCCTCAACAAGCTTCACAGTGCACAGAGAATTTGAGAGAAACTTGGTCCTTGGAAGACACAAAGGCAGGCGTGAGGCGCACCTGGCAGCTCCTCTGTTGAAAGCCCCACTCCTCGTCGTTTCTGCTATCCGGGTGCAAGCAACGAGAGCACCGATTGCGAGTGTGTGAGTCGTGTAAGTACGCTTGTCTAGTCTATGCCCAACCCAGGCAGTTTCGTTCGCTTTTATACAATGTCATTCGCTCGTAGCAGTCACTTAAGTTTTGAGGCCCGCCTCGATCCAGCATTCATGTGCTCGGACGGGGTGGCCCTGAGTGAGTCACAACAGGCTCGTCTCTTTCGGCCCAAATGCTGTTACGTTCCTGGGGATAAATTAGGACGACCTAACTCGAGGCGTTTTTGACTTTGATTCAGACTGGCAATGCCGGTCAGCTTCATTGGGAGCAAGTTTTCTTTCTATTTTTAGTAGAGCTGCAGTACTTGTACACTCAGATCGTGTGTATGGCAACTGGTCTCTGAAGTCGAGGGTCCAGAATGAAGGCAAGTGGGACGTGCCCCCGGTTCTTTCGTCTGGAGGATGACATGGAATATCAGCATGCTCTCTGAAACAACACACCTCTCTCTGCAATTGGTCCAAACGACGAAAGAAAATGAAAGCTCACACGGAACAGTATTTCTCAGCAGTGCTTGGCTTGAGAGTCGTCACCACCTTGTTCCAAAAAAGAAATCACAAAACGAGAAAAAAGCATATCCCAGGCGACTCGCCAGGGTCAAACATTGCCCACGCAGCCGGGGAACGTGGGGCTGGGAAGCCTTGAGCCGCTTGAGCGTGGTGGAAGATCCACGTCTCGTGACGACAGGAGTAGAAAAACCTTTCCTGCCGACAGATTTGAATCCAGCTCAGCGAGGTTTGAATTTTGAAACGTCCGCAGTGCCGGCACTACCGAAACTACGAACCTTACCGCTCTTGCGGCTCGGTTCACGCTCTCGAGACAAAAAGCATAGCTGCCACAGTCCGGAGCCTATGCTCCCACCTAGACTTGGCTTCAAGTACACTACCGCTAGAGGAACTCAGCCACACGCCCCGCAGTGAATCCGACCAGGAGCGGTTGCCGCGCGAAGCATACACAGCAGTGCGGAAATCGATCCCTCCCCCCTCCCCCCACCTCCTCTCCCACGGCATACTCACACCACAGGGCTTGTTGCTTATCTCTGGACGCAATGCCCGGTCGGATTTCAAATGTGGTCAGATACATTCAAAATAGTACTGATGTGAGTAAGTATGCCATGAGATTCCCATCGTCCACTGCTATGGTGCACTATGACAAGCCATCGGCCAATCGGGCACGACAGACGTTCTGAAACTGGCCGGGAGACTAGACGGCGACAAGTGGCCCACAGAGGCCCGGTTCTTTTCTTTCTTCCCTACGACAGTAGAGTTAAGGTCTACCTAATCTCAAAGGCGCTAAGGTGCGTGCATTTGGCGGGTCCTTAGCTAATGAGACCGTGACGAGGAAAAGTTGGATTGCTGACGTTGGAATGGAAACAGCTCAAAACTGAAATGGACATTGGGCACAAATTGACTGTCATCGTCAATGTTCGTGGGGATCATTGACGAGTCTTTCAAATTGCGTCACAGTGGCCGTCTTGGAGACCTAAAATGTGTCCCTGATCTTGGCTCTGATTTTGCAAAACAGAAAAAAAAAGACAAAAAGAAAAATGGGTTAATTTCAAAATTATTGCTGTTTCGAAGTTTGGCAGCAAAAATGTCGTCCGCTCGAAGTTTCCTTCGCAGACGTAGAGGTTTCTTTGCAGCTTTATCGGGTTCCCGTGGTTCGCCAGCAAAAATACGGCGGTTTGCCAAGTTTCACAGCAAAGGACCCCTAGGCCCCTGGCCTCAGGGACTCAGGGACTCAGTGTTCCGACCTCATGCACTCAGCTTTTCTCTTTTTTTTTTCTTTTTTTTTCCGTGGGCGTGGCCGAGGCATCTCGGCTGTGGCCACGCCAGAGATGCCTCGGCTTTTTTTTTTTTTTT